ACTAACTGTGCCAAGACTCAAGAATCCTGTAATATAAATGAAGAAGGGAAAAACAAAACCAAACAAAAAACCCAACAAAAATAGGACCGCTTTACACTGCCTCCATCCTTCGTCACCCAAATGCTTGTCTGCAACAACATAATCATCAGAAGCCAGAAAAACTCTCAGCATTTCAGTTTCACTATTTATAATGAAATGAGACTTACAAGTTGCCCAAGTGACAGCTGGATTTTTAAGGAACAAAAGAAATGGCATCAAAGAAACAGAGGATTTTTAAAAAGAAGCTAACAAGTCTACTCTTCCATTTGTAATTTAAAGAAATTTAATGCCTATATAAGGGCCCACATATTTATACTGCCCTATTGCAGCTTATGAACTATCACTCAGGAAATGCTGCAGCAATACACCTAGATTCTCGGAAGTATTCTTCATACATGAGTTAATTTATACTTCTATAAGACAACACAAAATAATTAACTTAAATAAGTTTTAGATTTAAAACAATACCTTAGTTGTACATGTAGCACGCAAAGGTTCAACAAGCCTATCCAACCTCTGCAGCACTGCGCTTGGACAAAGGGTAGACAATCTCACCAACATTAAAAAGGTTAGCATCTAGGTTGAGAGAAAACCAATTCAACAATCAGTTATGCTCCGCACATATATGGAGAGAGATTTCCTACAATGCTGTGTAACCTTTTTAACAGCAACACTTTAATGAAAATGGCAAATATAGCGAAGTACTTAAGCATACAAAGTAGTATTTTTACCATTTCAGTCTATTCACTATTTAAAATATTTTGACTAAGTCACTGCTTACCCAGAGAAAAATGACAGCTAACCTTAATATCATAGTGATCCTTCAGGCCATCTTCAACATGGTTTAAGAATTCAAATATATCTAGTCTATCCAAACAGCTATCCAAAAGAGTATACATGCACTCAAAAGCTGCTTTCCTTATGTCCAACCCATCATCAACTGTATGCTTAAATGGTCCCATTTCCACCTGTCAGCAAATAAAAAACAAAGTTAAGAAGTAATATATTTAGAAAAACAAAGAATCTACTTACATTTAGCACTGTTTTTCTTAGTTAACGTACCTCTCTGATTAATTCCTTTCTGACTTTTGTTTCATTGTAAAGATGAGGAAGCACAGTATCTAAGAGGTCCCTTATTAAGGATGGTTTATTGTGTGCAGCTGAGTTAAATGTCACTAGGGCTACCCTCCTGACATTGAGATCCGGGTCCTCCAATGTTTTCAGAAAATCACCTGCAATCGGGTACAGAAATAAGTCAACCTATAAGCACCTTTTTCATTTGCTACTTTAAAAATATCTTTGCTTAGTTTTAACCTTTCAAAAGGACATATTTAGCGCAGGACTTATTTCAATGTAACACAGACCAATACCTGCTGTTTTAGCATGACTACACAAATAAATCTAATTATAATCATATCAAAAGTATTATATAACTGAGATATATAGCATTTCAGATAATGAAACAGAAGTAAAAACACACCACCAAAATAAATGGCTATCACAATGATATTACAACTTCTTTTAGAGGTATAGCGTGTAAGTTAATGAAAGTTATATTTAACACAATCTTTCCTTTTCTCCATTAAAGTCTCTCAGAATATCATTAGAAAACCAATTTAAATTCTGCAGTTCAAGAATTAGAGAGTAGCTCTTAAGGAAACTATCAATATATTGTTTTTTAACCCCTGAATTGGCATATATTGAGAATTCCTAAATTACCAGAAGTTAAGCCCACTCAGTATATATTAATGTAGCAACACCTCTCCTATCCCATCCCGCCACGCCCTCTGGGAATCTTCGATTTAGAGTGTCTATAGTTCTATAACACAGCCTCGTTAAAATAAATGCCTACAGGAACAGATCATATTTTTCCCCCCAATGTTTGTGAAGTTTTACTAGCAACTTCCAAGAGGAGTGAAATTTTTAAAAGGAGAAAAATAAAAGGATGTAAACATCAAAGTGACTTCTACACAGAAAAGAAAAAAAAACCACCACAGTAACAAAACTCAAGATGACTGAGATTTTTAAGTACTAGATACCAATAGTTTTTGACTGGATAATCAATAAGTATTTCCAGAAACCAAAGTGGCAAGGCAACTTCAGTGGGAGGGACAGCAGGGGGAAAAACCCACAAGCATAGTCAATTCTTTAACATATTATGAAAAAATTTTAAGCTTAGTGATGAAAATAACACATAGGAACTGACACCGCTTCCCCATAAATAAAAACCTTGCTCTCTACAAAACTGTATGTTTTCAAAGATTAATCTTTTTTCCCCCCATCAGTTTTAGCAGTATACACAATTTTTATACATCTTTAAACCTGTAATCAAGCCACTAGAAAACATTCACCATAGCATATTAAAAAAATCTACAATACTTTGTCATGCAAATGAAAAAAGATCAAAAAACCACAGCATTGCAAAGCTCTTCATCATACTGGTATTATACTGAAAGCTCTGATTACCTTATCCCTGTAAAAATATATACGCTTCCAATAACTTTCAGATCACAAAGCATTATAGAATCCTAAGGACCTAAATTGAGTGGTTAAACATTGGAACAGGCTGCCCAGGGAAGTGGTTGAGCCACCATCCCTGGAAGTATTTAAAAGACGTGTAGATGCGGCACTTAGGGACACGGTTTAGCGGGCATGGTGGTGTTGGGTTGACGGTTGGACTCGATGATCTTGGAGGTCTCTTCCAACCTTAATGATTCTATGATTCTAAATTTACAATTTGCCGCCTGGTAATACTCAGAATTCACATGTGCATACATATTTTAAATGACTGAATGTCAAGTATTTCCAAGACCACCCTTCTGGGTAAAGACAGTACCTTACTACATCAAACTGATATAATTTGGCAATAACATGGGAAAGGAAACCAGCTTTTGGGTACTGTCTTCCTAAAAGCCCTAGCTCCTTGTATTCTTTGCCCATCACAGCTTCAATACATACCATTTTTATCACACGGCTTTTACTGCTCAGAATACAAACAAGCTAGAAATAATAGAAATAGTTGGCTAGTATGGAAACATTTTATAACCGTTCCAACAGTTACCAGTACCAGCTAATTCTGGTATCTGCAAAATATTTTTTTCTGAAAACAGAACAAACAATTTTTAAGTGCAATTCTATTGCTTCAAAATGTAGAAGCTGTCACTAAAGTAAAGAACTTACCTATGCAGTTTTTCAAGAGTGGGTCTATGGGTTGTGGATGATCAGAAATAGTGAACTTCACAGCAGTAACCACCGAACTTCGAGCATATGAGGACCCTAATATGAAACAAAAGGGTAAATATGTACCATTAAAACAGTACAATTACAGAATATAAATCATGTTCAATTCCATTCTTGTCAAACTTTAATATTCTTAGGAACACTGAAGAAGAAATGTTACTTATTACTAGCAATGCAATGTTTTCTCCATAGATGTTCCTGTGTTCCATTTTAAACAGGGGAAAAGAGACCATAACATTTGTAATAAACATTTAACTTTATCTGCTACAGAAAATTCAAGTAATGAGCCTATTAGGACAGATTTTTTTAATTCACCACATAGGAGAGTGGTTTGTAGGCTTCTTTAAAGCAGAATCACATGAAGAAAACATGTCAATGTTCTTGATATGAAACTGATTAATGAATTATGCACAATGATCGTTTCTAATTCTTAAAAATTTCAGAATTCTTATCTGAAAGTTAGGAATATGGTAATTTACACCAAAATGTCAACATGTTGCAACTGGTTTGTCAGGTAGTGCTGTCCCTTTGTCGCCCATGCTCCTTCCACTTTAAGTTTATAACTCTTAGTTAAACGTAACATCATTAACTGAAATACCACAGTCTGAAAGCAGACCATAAAATCAATTCCTGTAACTTCTAGTAAAAATAGAACCATCTAAGCTTCACATTGTTGAGGCGGGAGGAAAGCAAAACTTCAAGAGTATCACAAAATTTAAGCAAATAATTTGCAAAACTAGATCAATTTATTAATAGATAGCATAAGGCCACGTGCTACAATATGTACATGAGTTACTACTACTCACCTGATGCCAAGTATCCCTTGAGTCGTGGAAGCAAAGTCTCTGGGTCTATTAACGTAAGCTTGCCCAAGCATTCAGCAACAACATTCCTTGTACCCTCTTCTGCACATTCGCAGTGTTTCAGGAGTAAGGCCCAGATGTTCTCAACATATGGTTTGAGACCAATCACTGATGCAGAGCTAATTATTTCTTTCAAGGAATGAAGAAGAAGATACTGCCTCTTAGGCTGACTGGTTATTTCTTGTAAGACAAATGGCAGATACTCAGGAAGATTGCCAACACTAATACTGCCTAATGCGTAAGATGCTGCCGATTTGACTTCTTCACTAGGAGAAGAGAATGCTTCTAGTATTACAGACTTCAGCTCAATTTGTCCACTTAAGTCAATGTGATGCCCAACTTCCCCAAGAGAAAGCAAAGCCAAAAGCCGAATGGAATCCGTGGACCTGGAGTTCTTGACATCTTGAATGAACTGACCTACAACAGCTGGTCCTTCCTTAGGGCAGGCTCGAGTAAGGGCAGCAACACATTTGGCAATGGAATAGTAAGACTGCTTGTGAGTAAGTGCTGTGCTCTGTGAGTACACTGGACCCGTTAACATGCGCAGTAAATCCATATAGCCTAAATTATTTGTACCAGTCACAACCAAAGCTTGGAAAAATTCTAGCATGGCACTAAGTGCTCCACCCTGAAGTAGAGGCGATCTCACCAGCCCAATAAGTTCGTTGAGAATGGACCCACTAATCTTTGACAGGGAGGAAGGATATACTTTAGCCAGCGTTGTCAGAAAACTGATGGCCATCTGTGATACATGCATATCACTTTCACTAATCAGAGGTGGAAGCTCATCCAGGACAGCATCAATCATGGCAGCTGTCAAGCTGTCACTGTAATTCTTAATTAAAATATCTAGAGCAGAAAGAGTGCCCAGTTTCAAAGCTCGCTGGTTCTTTCTCAAAAAAGAAGCAAGAATAGGAACTCCTTCCCCAAGGATTGGTCTCAAATCTATCTTCAAAGGAGAACCAGCAATCAATGTCATGGCCTTCACTGTAGTTAACCGAGTGATCTCATTCTTCAGTCTCTCTAAGAAGATCTGAAGTGTACTAGGCAGGTCTGTGCCTAGGCTGTCACCAAGGCTACAAATTATTTGACCCATGCAAGATATTGCCCTTTCTTTCACCTCCTGATCAATGTCAGCAGCCTTTAATCTCTTGATTGTACAAGTAAACAAATCTTTGATGTAAGGAGTAGCATCAAAGGAAGAAGGCTGGTCTAAAGGACGAATGACTTTTACAAGTTGTTGGGTAACCAAAAGCGCCTCTGATGTTATCTTGTAAAACGGGTCTCCAACACAAGCTACAACTGGAGGTACCAATGCTTGAACATGAGGATGAAAGACTTGGGGAGAATGATTGCAGAGGATCACATACAAACAGGACAAAGCATCTATCTTCAGATTAGAAGAACTTGATTTGTCATTCAGTGAAAAAATTATTCCTGGAAGAAAAAAGAAAAATGTATTTTTAGATTAGGTATTTATAGTCTGTTGGAACATGTCACAATTTCTGAAGGCAGCTATACTCAATTTATGTTTTCCTGCTCCCAGCCTTTCTTGAATACTTCCAAGCCCCTTTCACCATTTTATTCAATCAATTAGTTTTCAAGCTTCCTCTACGCAGGGGACATTGGCCATTTGATGGTTTGTGATGTATCTTCTTAATTATAATGGGATTTTAAACCTTTAACTTTTCCAAACTTACTTTTCCTTGTTACTTCAAAATTCAACATTTTAGGTCCCAAAAGCTAAAATACGGACAATATTTTGCTCTGTTGAGAATGAAAAAGAGGCAATTTGATCTTGCAATTAAGCAAATTAACTTTTTTAAGATACAGAAGAAAAAGAAAAAAAAATCTCAATCTTAGAACCAACCCTTGTTTTCAAGATTAATGGAAATATGTCACTAAAACATTTATATGGATCCACGCAGTAGCTGATTATTTTGCCAATTTCTTTAAATAGAAGCAACACTTCAAAGCTTTTGCAAAAAGCACAGTCAAGACAGATTTTGAAACTCCACATCCAATTTGCTAATAAATCTTTAAGTTAATAATATGTTTCTCATACCTGGTACAAGTACAGGAACATGTTGTGTTAGGGCTCCAGGTAATACATTTACTAGCTCAGTCAGCATGTTAAAGCAACACTGACGAGTCTTCACACTCTTCTCCTTCATCTGTTTGTGCAAGGCTTTAACTATGTTGGGGACCTGTAATCATCACACATCTGTTAATTGATTCAATACCTGACATTTCTTTCATCTTTGATCACTGGGGGGATATAAAGAAAGATGTGTGTCCTACACCTCTATTTCTGATTTCTCTACAGAACTAGAGAAGTTATAAACACTGGGAAATGAAGATTCAAAAGAACTGCTATCCAAAAGAATAATAATTTAACTTTAAAAGGTGAGATGAAACAAAGCAAAACTAGATTTGCATTAATAAAACTGTAGAGAGCAACAATTGAAAAGTCACCCAAATAATTCACTTCGAAAAAGTTTTTCAGCACTATCCTTTTTATTCTGCAAATAAAATACGTTGTAGCAAATCAAGTTTTATCTTGATCATTAGAGCTTACATCTGCATTACAGAATGCACAAAATAACTATTTTGCTTTGGTAATTTGGCTAAACTCATAGGACACGCAACTTTTACAGGTGACAGTGAACAACTGAAGTCAGATAAGCACATTTGCATGAGTTAGTAATTGCAGTTTCCAAGACTGCTGCACTCTTCCGGGCTAGTTTACCTGGCTTGCTCTCTATGTTAGTACTACAGTAATAAACTGTAAATCTGTGTACGAAGAAAGTATGATGTGGCATATTTCAAGAACTATCCTTATGAACAGGGCACAACTTCAGAGTGTCTTCCCAAAGGTAACAAAAATCTTGACAAATAACCTGGCTTTGAAGCATTGTCAAAGGTGTCTCTCCTTGTTCCATTGCATCAGGATCACAAAGCCAACTTTGCACAGGTCGAGTTTGTTTTAAAAGAGAAAGATATGCATGGAAAACATCTGCTTTAACATTCTCTTCACGTTCTTTGAATCTGGCTATTAAAGCAGGAGATACAGTTTTGTAGAATTCTGGAAGCATTTCATGTCGTGTGCTAACCACAGCATCCAGACATTTAGCTGCTGCACGCCTCACTTTCCAGCTCATGTCATCATCATCACTATATTCATCATCACTCCCTTGAAAAAATAAATTATGCATATGTTCAAGTCTAGACAAAACATCAAGTTTTATTTTAAACAATTAATAAGAACACACTTGAGTTCTTTGTGTAAGGCACAAAGAAATAGGTTCAGAAGTATGTTAAAAACCATACATAAAAAGCCTTCTAAATTGCCTAAATTGTAAGGCTAATTATTTTCTCTGCCAATTTTTTCATGCTAGTCTTACACATGTATTAGTTTAAACCGCAAACAGGACAAGGCAGTTCCCATCACATTTACAGCCTGACTACTGATTTAAACCATATTCCTTTTTATTTGTGACATAAGCAACAATGCAACAACAATGACTAGTTGATCAAGATTCAACATATTATTCTGTTTGTTTCTTTCTAGGAATAAATCAAACTATACTCTGCCCCCAAAAATGACAACAAAAATTTACAATAAGCAATAGAAATTGACTTTTTAAGTGCTAAAGCAACAATTACACTGCTCATTCATTCTTAAAAGTAATGAGAATGTTATGCTCTGGGTTAAGATTACTTGCGTGTCCAAGTTTTCATAAAGCAAAACCTTACATATGGCAAGGTATTGCCACCATATTAACAATATGTTATGCCTTTCAGCCTAAAACATTTTTTATCCTACAGAAAAATACTATTTCGCAATTTTCAATCTATTCTGATTTTATGCATTAGGTAACAATATATTCTAGTGGAAAAGTAGTGAGAAGCCTTTCCCATGCTGAATATGCATTTTCAGTTCATTAACTGATGTTCGTCTCACTTTAGTTATATCATCCTACATGCTTCTGCCTTTTCCCACATTTCAAGTATTTTAAAATATTTGTCTTGTACTTTATGTTCACCCTTGCAATTATTTATCTCCAGCAACAACATCCTATACTTTTATTCCAATAATTGAGTTCATAAGGTATGTTTAAAAACAGTAGAAAAATTGAACGCAAAAGTATACAAGTCATTCAAATACTGGTACTTAGTAGCAATACCACCCACATCAATTTTCTCAGACGAATGCAGGTTCACAAGCTCTTCCTCTCCCCCAAACCAAAAAGAGAATATACCTTGGTCATCATCATCACCACCATCAGCATCCATAGCATTTTCATCTTCATCTTCATCATCATAATTGTAATTAGGATCATAGGTAAGATATTTAAGACAAATGTTTATAATAGTAGATACATGAGGATAAACTTCTTTAGGACACCTGTGTAATACAAAAATACAATCAATGGCAAATTACTTTGAAGAATTAAAATATTTCCAAAAGACTTCATGCCACATACCGTACTTTGGAGACATTAGCCAAACCAAGTACCATCAGTGCACCCATCTGAATTACAGAAATTCAGAAAAGAAGGTCAGAAAGGGCAATGCTACTATGTAACTGGATCTGCTAGACTGGAAGGTTGTGGAGGACCAAGATACGCCTTTGGATATCAATTTTTTGCCACCACTATTGGACAACAGATATTATTAGAATACTTCCCCCGTCCTGCTTGCATAAGTAGCAATGGCACAGCAAAAAGTTTCTGAAGTACAGACATAACACACTGCTTAACAGTTAAGTTACAAGACAGAGCTATAGGAACAGTTCCAGCTCAAAGCTTGCAAAAATATTTTGTACCAAGGAGACTGCCTCTTGACAGCTTACAACCAAATGGTACACTATTGGATCTTAAGAAAGCCTGAAATAGGTACCCGAGAATAACCTACCTCCTAACAAAGGATTCAAAGGCTTGAATGCAATACTCTCGTAGTTCATCATCATCTACATTACAAAACTTGACAACCAAAGGAATTATTTTCTCAAGATATTCACCTGGTAAGAGAAAAAAAATTAGCAAAGTAATTACTCTCATCTAAAAACTTTTAAAGTTACAGATAATTTATATATTTTTCTTACCTATTCTATGACCTGCTTGCCTACTGATAGCAGCAATACACTGTATATAGGTCCTAGTTGTTGACATGGAATCATTTTTAGACAGCTCTGTCAACAGATGTTCAATGAGGTCAACAAAAACCATATTGCCACAACTCATAACCAGGTGACCAAGAGCAATGATGGTTCTTTTCCTCACAGCAAGTCTGGGGCTAGTCAGCTGGGGGAGCAGACAGGTCAGAATTGAAGGATGGAAGTTAACAAGCAGTCCTCCTTGCCTTAAAACAGACAAAACACAAACTCAAACCAATTGAATCTAGATAACTTTGTTCATATACTGTACAACAATTCCTTTAAATAGTCCCAAAACATCACAAAGATTCCAATTAAGTCTTAAAATTTAAGCTTTTGGAACTTCAAAAAAAAAGTTTAAAATATACCCTCAAAGCAATAAACATTAGAAATAAGCTTAAAACTATAGTTCTCAAAAGATTAAATAATAAAGTAATTGATCTATCAATCAACTTCTCTTCAATACATTCACTGGTTTTTTTTCCTAAATGAAGTTTCACCTATACTTAATACCTTACCATATTATTTCATATAACTTAAAGTAATTTAAATTTAGTATTTGGAAGATCAAAGTTCAAGCTTTAAGGAGTATTTATCAGCATTCACCAGCACTTTGGAAGAGGGATGTTTACCTGCTCAGCATATCAGCCATGATATCCAGTGCCTCCAGTTGAACAGACACATCCTCCTGCTTGGCTATAGCACTAGTGAGACGCCCTGTGATCTTTTTGCAAACATTAGCTGCTAATGCAGACCCTGAAAGTACAACAAAACCTCAGCATTTTCGTAATTAAAAAAAAAAAAAAACAGTTTTTAACACCAGAGATCATGTTTGCGACTACGGAAAGCAACCTGATCTCAACATAAAGAAGCTTTTCCCGCCCAACAAAACAAGCTTGAACAGCCAGTTTGTTTGTTAATGTAACATAAGCTCTGCATTAGAGCTGAAAGACTATCTATGTAGAAACATACTGAGAAGGAGAGCTTCTTAATTGTCCCATAAGGTATAAACAGAAAGGACATTGCTTTTGGCAGGGCAGCAATGGAAAGTGAAGGCCAAGACAAGTCTAGAGCAGTAAATGAAAGGACTATAGGTAAAAATAAAGGAATAAACTAAAAGGTAAAGGGAAGCATAGAAGTAGATAGAGCCACCTCTAGAGAACAGCTGTGTAACTGTCGTGGTTTAACCTCAGTCGGCAATTAAGCACCACGCAGCCGCTCGCTCACTCCCCCCCACCCAGTGGGATGGGGGAGAGAATTGGAAAAGCACAAGTGAGAAAAACTCATGGGTTGAGATAAAAACAGTTTAATAATTGAAGTAAAATGATAATAATAATATGATGATGATAATAATAATAATAATACACAAAGCAAGTGATGCTTTGTGTACAATTGCTCACCACCCACCGACCGATGCCCAGCCAGTCCCCGAGCAGCGGCCCCCCCGGCCAGCTTCCCCCAGTTTATGTACTGAGCATGACGTCACATGGTATGGAATGTTTCTCTGGCCAGTTTGGCTGTGCCCCCTCCCAGCTTCTTGTGCCCCTCCAGCCTTCTCAGTCGGTAGAGCATGGAAAACTAAAAAGTCCTTGGCTAGTGTAAGCACTACGTAGCAACAACTAAAACATAGGTGCCTTATCAACTTTGTTCTCATCCTAAATCCAAAACACAGCGCTGTACCAGCTACTAGGAAGGAAATTAACTCTATCCCTGCTGAAACCAGGACAATAACAAAAAAGCAAAATAAAATTGCACAAGCAGCTACTTAAATAATAAGTACCTGAAATACTGCTGAAACATTTGAGAAAGGGGGAAAAAATGTATACCCGAAGTATTTTAAAATTGAAGTAAAAATTTCTTTATCACAACTCCACAAGTTCCCCCTTCCTCCAACTATCTAACCTTGTTCGGAGTAATTATGAGCAGAAACTCATGTCATAGTAACAGCTACTCAATGGCTAGTACTCATCTTCATTTGCATTAAGATTTTTTTAATCACGCTTTGGAATTTCTATGTGAAATTAATACCATTCCAACCTATATTAAATCTAGTTTATATATATTTCTGGCTTATTCTTAACTATATGACTAAAACTAAATGTAACAATTGGACAGTCAAATGTGTTACCACAGAAGCTAAGAAAAAAACCCAACAATCTGTGTTTGAGTTGAGAGCAAGAAATAACACCTAGGTTACTTTTGTATTAGGAATACTAATTATATTGAAAGATTTTGCTACATTTTTATTTGAGCTTTACCTCCACCCCAAAATCTTGTTTGCCTACACAAAACAAAAGGAAAGAATAAAAGCTTAAACTGATTTACTTAAAATCAGTTATTTATTTAAAGTTTAGGCATCTCACTACTGCTTGATAAAAGCAAGGCTTACATGTGGACTTTCAGTAAAGGATGTTAAAATCAGAGCTTTTTTTTTTTTAATTGAAGAAACCCCAGTCTCTAAAAACTGCATTTCTAAAGCCTTTTTAATCACTTCTCTATTCTCATTCATATCCTATACTACGATATCTGAAAAGCATTTGAATAAAAAAAGAATGCCATTAACTGATGAGCTGTTCATCATGACTATGTCTTTTGGAGGAAAGACTGCCTTCATTTAAAACTGCAGGTAAGCATTTCAGTAATTTAACAGGCAACTGTTAGAAACACAAGGTACTTTCCAAAAGACTTACCAGAAACTGAGACAAGAAATCAGGTCATTAAAGAAAAATACCCAAGTTATAATCAATTTGAAAGTATACTATCAATCAAAAAGCAAGATGACATTTAGCTACTACTACAGCCTAGAAATGTTCTACCAGACAATTATTAAAATAGGAGCTTTTATACTCAATTTGTTATACCGAAGTTCATATACTGTACAGTTTGTTTTTCACATTAATGCAGTTCTTCAGTAAAAAAAAGTTTTTAAACTAGTAAAATCTGGAACTACAGTCAGAGAAGAAGAAACCAAAAGGATATTTGTGCCATACATTTTTCCTCTGACAGAAATTAGTTCCAATGTTAAATGAACTGAATCCTCCTCACTAAAGAACCCAGCTTTTGCATTTTTTTAATTAGTAATGAAACGATAAAACTAGATCGTCTTGAGTACAAAATGCCTTACCACTGGAAGCGGGGGGAAGTTCTCCAATCACAGTTTTAAGGCCAATGCTTGAAATGTCACGTAACTGTTCTTTATCTGAAAGCATGTTTGTACAAAGGGTATCTACAATAGTTTCCACTTGATACTCCTTCACTTTACTCACCAAAGGGCCAAGGCTGTATAAAGAGAAGAAAAGTATTAAATCTGCAACCTTAAATAAACCCCCTCATTTTATTTCAGTATTTTGCATTCAAGTCACAAACTTAAGGTTGGTTTTGGTAGCAATATAAAGCAGAATTTTAAAATTTGAAAACCTTCAGCTGGCTGGGTTGATAACCTGTCTCCGTAAATCTAGTAACAAAATACTGGTTTAGTACATGTTTTTCATCTAGTGGTGGAAACAGTTTTTGCATGACTGTTCTGCTTCAGTCTCAAAACCAGAGTCCCTCTTACTTCTCACTTAACACCAAGATTTTTAACAAAAGTTACCTAGTCAGAGCCATCAGCTTATGCGCTTAACCATCACTGCCTGCTTAGCTCACAAACAAGTAAGCAACCTTCTTAATTACTGCATCTTTATTCTACACAATGCTTGGGTTCAATCTGATACACACTTAGACTCATTCTATATCTTAGAGTGCCTTCCTTAAGAGAATGCAAATGGTAAAATAAAAAACAATGACATGGCATGCCCTCCTTCACACAGAATCCAAGCACTATACACACAGCTCACAGTAACATTTCCTCTCTTTCCTCTGAATTGTGAGTTTTTAGTTTTGAGGATCGTAACAATCTGGTATTGCTTTGTCAAATGCTCCCATTTGTTCAAAATACTAAAACTGCAGATGTCCTAGTAAAGTCTAGTTCATTGCTAAGAAATATAGCATCCTTCACCATCTTCGTAGCCCTACCACCAACTTTCAGCATCTCTCCATTGTTAATGTTCTGTTCCAAAAGGGAAGTTATGCAAAAACAGAGCCTTCTATTGACTCTATTTTCTTCCATTCACCTGTGAAAAACCTGCATAAGAACCCTAAGAACTTACTCTTTCTCCTACTACCCCTCCCACTTCTCACTCCAAATTTGCTTATCTAGTTTCTTCCTGTTTTTAAAACATCTGCCTTCAGACAAAGCATCTCAGAAATGTGAAATTAATTTTGAAAGACTTCAAGTTACCAAATACTTTAATCTAATTCAACTCCCTCAAACATACTACATTAACAACGAACACATCAAAATCTGGAAAAAAGTGTGTTACAAGCTGTGCTATAGGCATTCCTACCATATTCCATCAAAAAACAGTACAGTCAATACGCATACAGTAATCACTCTGAAAGCCATAGCTCCCTTGTTTTGTAAACTTCTGTTCTCTGTATGTTGATCTTGCCAGCTAGTCTCTCTAATTCTCTGTGGTGACATCCATAATCGTAGAATCATAGAATCATTAAGATTGGAAGAGACCTCTAAGATCATCGAGTCGAACCGTCAACCCAACACCACCATGCCCACTAAACCATGTCCCTAAGCACCTCATCTACACGTCTTTTAAATACCTCCAGGGATGGTGACTCAACCACTTCCCTGGGCAGCCTGTTCCAATGTTTAACCACTCTTTCAGTAAAGAAATTTTTCCTCATGTCCAATCTAAGCCTCCCCTGGCACCACTTGAGGCCATTTCCTCTCGTCCTATCGCTTGTTACTTGGGAGGATAATATTACTATCCAATCAAGAAAGTATGCTTACTAATGAGACATCAACACTAGAGGCAAGATGTGACACGATGCTAAAGTTCTAAAGTTCTACCAAGCTTAGGTTCTGCACTGACCCCAACAGAAGCAAGGGCAGGAGGACAAGGAGCTGTGTGCAACAGTCACATAGGAGAAAAAGCAATGGCTTGAGGCAAGAATGGAGACAGCAGTAGCCAGGACCATCTACAGAAAATGTGGGAATCGTGAACTGGAAGCGTAGCCCACCAGCAGAATTAACAGAAACACAGATGTATCTCCAGAAAACTACTATTTATTTTCTCTTCCATCTGAATCAAAAGGATAATGAATAGCATTCCGACTTAGCCTTGTGCACAGACCATCCCGTAGCTGTTTTGCAGCTGCTCCAGATGTCCCACTAAGGAAATCCTACAGCCCAATTCTCAACAGCATCTCAATGTTTTTCCTCCTATGAAACACACTTCAAGTTATACGCATCACCATCAAATTCAACTTCAGCCACAGTGAGAAAGCACAGAAGGTTTTCAAGAGATTTTACATGTGTGTTCTCAGTGTGAACTTTGATGAGCAGTAAAGTGTGAGGATTTTAAGTGAGCCCTTTGTATCAAAACAATCCGGTTAAGATTTTGAGGAGTGGAAAGACACACGCAAAGTTGTTATTTTTAGGAAGCATTTTTCACAAGCTTAAGTTTTGTTGCTGTTCTTGTGAAAGTCAGGGTCCAACTTGCAGTACAGAAGTCAAAGCGAGCCTGTGCAATGGTTCCATCAGATTTGTGCTGTGAGGACAGAGAGCGTTAAAGTGGTTTCAAGTGCTGAGCTAAGAGGCCATGTCTCCTACTGCAACTAACAGAGCCAAGCATTACAAATCAGAAATCACGGATGTTTCTCTGGCTTACAAGGGAGGGTCCAAGTTTTGTATCTGCCCTTCAACTTTGTACACAATGTACACACCTCTCCATAAATCAGAACTATAAAACTGAAATATGTGGAAATCAATGTATGAACAAATGCAGAAAAAGGAGCACCTTAAAGCCAATCACAAACTGATTATATTAGGACTACATTAGAATGTAACGCCTCCATAGAAACGTTAGTTTTTTCCACACTGAACTTTAATGAAAAGCAGATGTATACAGTATTAAAGTTGATTCTAGCAAAGCTAACTGAGACTAAAATGATGTCTATAGGGTTACTAAACACTAATTTTGGAGAGCTGAAGTCAAACTGAAAACCTGGAGGTAAAATGAACAAACTCATCTGTTATCAATACAAGACTACGTTCAAGAAAGCAAAGTTTAAACTTTCAAATATATGCCACTATTCACTACAAGTATGTTGAGTATGCAATGATTTAGGACCACATGGTCATGACCGTATTGAAACATCAGAAGTATGCAGAAGTTTTACAAGCAGATGATGAAATTATTTGTAAAATAGATTAACATAATTAACAATAAAACAACTTTCAACTAGAAGTATTTGCCTAGTTTAACTCCTTGTCAAATGCACAAAGGGAGTACGCTGTCCAAAGATGGACTGTTTGCCCATGCTTAGGGGAAAAAAAGTAATATTTGGAAAGTTTAATATATTAATTTGCACTTATATTTTCATTGATTTTGAACAAATAGCAATTATCAAACTTTTAGAACAGTTTAGCCACAAGTTAGTTTGATACACAAGGATAAATATTTTTCCCCCTCCCCAAAACTAGCCTTTCAAAGCACTTTACAGAAACAAAACAAGCTCACAACACTAGGAAAAAGGTGGGAAGAGCACTTCCAACTTCATACATTTGATTGTACAACGTAAGGGAGTTTGCCAGATCATGGTACAGAGCTAAACCCTGATTAGCAAATATCAGTATGCAGCTCTAGTAAAATTAGTAAATTCAATACATCATATTCTAATTGTACCAGATTACTAGAAAGAAACCATCTGGATGCAAAGTACTTCCTTTCAGACCTTAGTGATTACAATGAGGAAAAAAACTGTTTTGGTTTTATTTCATAAGATTTTGAAAATTATTCTGAATTAAGAACAAGTTTCACAGGCATTAAAAAAAAGCACAGGCATTAAGTCAACTGCACAAAACTAT